TATTTATATAGATTTCACAAGTATCGCGATCGAAATAAAATCTCACGATCCAATGAAAAAAATAACATCCTTTTGGTATAGATTGTGATCATACATTATCCTCTTTTGATAAATTAATATGATCATTCAGCATTCATTTCTCTAATTTCTTTCATTCTTGTGTCTATTATCTCCTTTTATCTCAATGATATTCATTGGCAACTTTACGAAGACTAGTTTTATTGAAATTACAAATACTTCCAAGTAGAGCAGCTCGTTCGTTGGTCAATTTTGAGACATTATTTGCCACATCAATAGTTGCAGGCATCTGTGACGGAGGTGCTGGTATAGTACTTTTTGCAGGAACTCCATCACCTTGTCGCACATCTATAGAACCTTTAGTTAAATAGATTGTAACTTTATATAATTTTTATAACGTCGTTTGGATACATATTATTTTATTATATTTAATTTTTTATTAATTAGATTATTTTTATAAAGATATACTATATACTATAAATATACTATTCATTAAAATTCTATTATTACATGTATTCGAAATGTATCCAAGCGATAATTATATGAAAAAATGTATGAACGTGAATAATTAGTGTTTGAGTGATCATATGACCTACGTGAAAGAAATAAGCGTAGTATGCGCCATCAACTTTTGTGCCCAGCTAATATAAAGTCATGAATATTGATTAATGTTAATTTTTAATAAAGATTAATGAAAAAAGTAATTTGATACTTACGCAGTGATGGAGGCGTTAAAGTTCCAACACTGGTTGCTGTAGAAGTACTAGTAGGACTATCCGAACGTTCCGGACTCTTACCATTTACATGTTTTATTCCATTTGCACTTAATTGGTTCGCAGAACGTTGTTCTTGAGCTAATTTTTGTTCCTTCTTCTAGAATAATAGAAACATTTGTGTTTTCATTTTAAGAAATATATTAATATTTTAATACAATATTTAAATATAATATTTTTTACTAGTTTCTGTTTTCGTTTTTTCATTTCTTCCTCTGAACTCATCATTTCTTGAACTTTGACAAGTCTTTTTTGATGTCTCGCTACTTTTTGTTCTTCTTTTAGTCTTTGTTCTGCTTTGTTTACTGCTTCTTGTAGAGCTTCTTTCAAATGACTACTTAATTTGAAATGTGGTTTTTCTATGGATCCAACAGCAAATGTAATATGTTTTGCTGATTCAAAGAATGGGTGTTCTAATAAATGTGATATTGTTGGTAAATCCTGTTTCAAGGCTTCTGGTGAAAGTATCACCTCTAATAGACTTTTTAAAGTTAGATCGCAATACGGTAATTCCGAACACGTTGCTTCTAACAATGGTCTTCCAAATGCCATTTCATATAATACATGTCCAAAAGAATAAATATCTACTTGAGTCTGTAAAGAAAAAAAAAAATAAATATATATTTATATTGAGAAATTTATACGATATTTTTCTAATGTAATATGAAATATACCGTGGCATGAAGTTTACGCCTTTGTACAACATAAGGACGATAGAATGCTGGTAAACCTAAAAGACCATTTTCTATATCCAACAACTTGGCACATTTTTGTGTTAAAAGAATATTTCCTGTATGTAAATGTCCATATGGTAGACCTTTTTCATGAAGAAATCCTAAAGCTTCCAAAATCTAAAATAAAAATTATTTAGCTACAAAATCTATTATTGTTATCTTAATATGAAATATTATATTTTTACCTGGTAACCATACATAGCAATTTCAGGCACTGTTAATGATTTGGTTTGTTTTGGATTTCCATACTTTTTTATAAATGGTTGTTTAGGTTTAGTTACGCACAAAATGTCACGTAATGTACCCATTGGATAAAAATTTCTTATCATTAATGCTCCATTTTCAGTTACATGTTGATAAACAATTGGTTCTATATAATTATGCTTTAATGTTCCTAAACTTTTAAAAACACCTTGCATGTCTTTATCTTGCAGATGTTTATCTGGACCAAATTCTACCCATGCAAGTAATAATTCTTGTTTTGAATTTTGACGGTTTTTTACAGTATAATAATGTTTTCTTAACCGCCATCCCATATCAGGAATGGCTTTACAAACTTCAAAATTTGCATCGCTGCGTAAAGCTAATGACACCTGTTGCAAAGCTATTTCTGAAAATAAAAATTATTTATGAAAATGAATTAAATTTTAAATATAAATTGATTTAAAATAATTGATTTAAAATAAGATTTTTTTAGTATTTAAACATAATATTATTTACATATTATTTATTTATATACATATATCATATTACTTATACTTAATTATATTATTATATTCATTATTATAATTAAATCATACCATGTAATGGTGCTGTATAATTATCTGGATCTAAGAATTTTTTCATAGGAAGTGATGAAGCCAATATAGGATTCATTAGTATATTGTTTAAATAATTCTAAAAATAAATAAAATAATTATATTAAATTAATACTTAATAATTATAATTTTTTTTATGTAATTAATTTTTTATATAATTTATATAATTAACCTGTAGGGCTATTTGACGTTGAGCTATAAAGTCTGGTTCCATATTACCAATGATTTTCTTTGGAGGAAATGCCAGATCAATACCAGATATTGATAAAGCTGCATTAAGCTGTACAAAGTCATTGTAGCGTCTGCTAACTCTCCAAAATTTCTCAGAAAGTGGACCTCTTTGTGTTCTAATCACATATTCCTAAATATAATATAAAAATATATATTCATATCATTTTTGCATTAATAAATAACAATTTTTAAATAAATGTACAATTAAAAAATAAATTAATATATAATTATTTATAATATATTATAAATTCTAATATTTATATATTGTATATTCCAATAATATTATATATTATTTTTTCTATATTTTTCAAGCATATATATTTTTTTTTAATATATTATATGTACAAAATTAATTTTGACTATATAAATTTTATGTGTAAAAAAATATATTATAAAATTGTTTATCTTTAAAACATGCAAGAGAAGCATCCAGAATGTCTACGTCATCAACAATAACGCTCGTCGATTTAACGATACGAGATTGAAGCGAAAATCCGACATATATGAAGATCATCTTTTATCGACCAAATGTCAAAATATACGTATTAAGCGTGCACCGTACCGTATGTCCGTCGATTGTTCTTGCATTTTCAATGACGCTCGTCAGCTTTTCTGTATCATCTAACAGCACTTTATTTGTATATCGCTTCTCAAATAAAGCCATTGATCATTAGTCCGACAGAATGCAGAGCCCGTGCGGGGCGAACTGCGTATGGCTAGCGCATATTTTTCGTAAGTCGCCATACATGATGCACTTTTGCATCATTGTAACATTGGTCAATGTATTATATACAATTATTTTAAATGATTCAATAACAGATTCAAAAAGATGCACCGATATTGATTAATGTTTTTTAATGATCAACACAAATCTTATTTAATGAATTACATTTCTCTTAGAGCTTAACACCCATCTTTCACCATTTTATTATATACACTTTCGCAGTGATGCCACACAATCAGATGACCACACAATAAACATAAAATTTCTATATTTTATATTCATTGCTTATTTTGAGTAAATTATAAAAATTTCATTCCAAATTATTTATAAATAATTAATTATAAATTTAAAAATAATTAATATAAATTTAATTATATTATGAAATAATCAAATAATTAAACAATTTATTAACAATTAAATTTTTCATAAATTTTTATCATAGATTTCATATTATTGATGAATTTATCATGTTATCGATTAAAATGCCAGATTATTATATTTATGCAATTAAATTTATCCATATCATAAATGTGGTCATGATCTAATAACAAAATATAGAAACTGAGTCTGACTAAATTATAGATAACAGAATAAAATTGCATTTGAGTAGCATACATTATACAAAATTAGTTGGATTAGGATATTTTAAATGTTTCTTTTATTTATATTTATATATATCATAACTTTTGTTTTTGTTTTTATAACAATTAAGAATATAATAAATTGATAGAAAAAGCGAATTTTCATTTATTTATTACTTATTATTTCATGTTGGCAATTTAGATTCTACAAAATAATATTATTGAATTGCTTGCATTATAAGTGTATTTAAATCTTCGCGGGTCGGATATGTATAAACGCGACGTAGTACTTCATTGAGTCGTCACAACTTCCGGCCATAGTTTTGCATCCTTTTTTCCGAACATCGTCTGCCGTTGTAATCATTACACCGTGGTGATAGTTCAACGAAGTGGAGAAGTGTCAGAAGTGGCGAGTGTCGATTCGTTTTTCTTCAAAATTTCCAAGAAATGATAGTTATTCAGCCAAACATAGTTCTGTAACAGACAAACAAAAGTTATCATCTCTTACAATCAGACGTGCAACGAAAATCCTGCGATTTAGGGAACGGATTGTGAAATTTCTTCGAAATATTCGCGACGTAGAGACATGCTGTAATACATTAACTGCTAATGATGGCACGATTCAATTTTCTTATGACCAGACATATGAGACTCGAAATATTTCCCGTTGGTTCAGGTTGAGGGTTGCCTTATTTATACAGAATAAACAGCCCTTGCTTGCTTGTCGGCGCGTGATCCGAACGTTCTACGTCGGTGTTCTTTTTCTATCGTTTTTGAATCGCCGCTAGCGTGTTAATTAAACAAACAAACTGTGGCCGAGATAGTGTTAATCGGATACGGCACAAGAAAATCTGGAAAGGACGTGCGAGTCGATGAGAAGAAGGAGGCGGCGGAGGAGAAAGAGGCAGGAATTTAGGATCATCGAAAGATATGGAGAATAACGACGAAGCGCGCACTGTGGCTGATCGTGCGTCGACGTCAAAGGAGGAACCCTTAGAAGCCACTGCTGATGATGATTACGGCTGCGAGCATTATAAACGAAAATCCAAATTTGTTGTAAGTACCTCAATCAGTTTTTTTTTTGCAAATACATTTATAATCCCCCTATTTTCGATTTTGATCACGCAGATGTTCAATGATCAATTCATGCGTTTCAATTATAAAAAAACATACTTTTCTTAGATACCGTTTGTAATACTTCCGTGTCTTTATGTTCATATTAACCATTTTTTGAATTTGTTATAATGAACGATGATCTTGATTTTATTAATTTTTAAATTCCTTTTGTTTTATATCATCGTAAACATATATATTTATTAAGATTTCTGATTAATTTTCTAGTAACAATATAACGAATGGTTATAGATCTTTTTCATGTATATTATTAATTGGGCCGTTAAGTGGTTGTAAGTACGTCACCGATTGACAGTTAATTCAATTAATTCACATAACAACATCCTACAGATATATGTATATATTTTAAATTAATCAATGTAGAAACGAAAAATTTTATATGAGATTGAAATGAGACTTTTTGTAAAACTTTTTATAATATAATTTTTGTGTGCGAATATTATAAAATATCAATAAAGATTTATTGTTTATACGTTTGCGTTATATTATAATTGTAATCCTATTTAAAATCACTGAATAAATTTTGATTATTCGATTATTTTAAAAAAAATAAAAATATTTAAAAAATCTGCATGGTAAATTAATAGTTGACAATTATAGATTTATAGTCGGTTATTTCAATGAATCTTCATTCAACTAATAAACCGAATTTACATTTCATAAGAAACGTTTTGAGCGCCGCCTAAAACAACAGATAAAATTTGAAAAGCATTTATAGAGTAGTCTATTTGAATATCTATAACGCACTATAATAAAAAGTTGAAAATAAAAAGTTTCAATACCTTAAAAATTATTCTTGAACTTGAATAATCAATAATATTTATAATTTTGGATAAATGTTTCTAAAATAAACGACGTGCATAGCGGTCTTACAATTAACAACTAACACCGAAATCGCTTATACACGAGCTTTTCTTATTCATTGTAAACGCGACATGCATTTCATATGTATGTACGTAGCAAACAAATCGATGAAGTTCAGCATATGTTGTGTAATGAAACGCCCTCTCACAGTGTTGCTTACCAATTGCCGCGATAAGTCAAATATCATGTGCTGTTACCAGTGACTAGTTTTTCTAAGTTGTCTGAAAAAAAGTATAATTATGATTTTACCTTTTTTTTTCATTTCCAATAGATATTTCGTATTTTGCAATAAAATATATCAGATTTGTGATTTACTTGTCTGCTTACACGATTTGTCTTGTTTACCTGAACGCATAAAGATAAGACACTTAAATTTTTGTTATTCAAATATTATTCAGAGAGCACCGTGAATAATCTATATCTTATGATCGAGAAAACATGCATTTATTATATCTTACTAAAAAAGCAAACCATATATACATAGTAAATCAGTAATATATTTAATTATACTTTGAAATAATAATTTTTCTTCAAAAATTCAAAAATTTTTAATATTCAAAAATTGCATTAAATAATTCTCTTATATATAAAATTTTAACTTAATAAATAATTTATAACTTAAGTAATTCTTGTATTAAAATTATGATGAATTATTGATATATATGCTTTGTGGATTTTAATAATTTTTAAATATGTTAAAGATTTTAGAACAACTTTTTCTTATATATATAATCGTATAGAACTATCGGTTGATTTTAGTTTAGTTAGTTGATTTTCGAGATTAAACAAACAACTTTACAAAAAATAGTTACTAATACTTGAATGTTTGAACATTCTGAAGAAATATCTATCTTTTGATTCATAGTACATTTTGAATACCGATCATAAGTGATCGCATTTAACGCACATGTTGCTATATATATGTAAAAACTAAAACTGATAGTTATATGTATAGAAAAAAATTGTTTAAAATTTTATTTTTATATTATATTTATAATATATATAATAATATTTAAAAATAATTAAAATTTATGATATTATATCGATAAGTTAACATAATTTTGTTATGAGATTTTGTGGAACTTTTATTTAATTCAATATAAATAATAGTTATTTTAATGAAATTTCAATTCATAAAAATTAATATTTTTCATAATTTTTTATATAAAATAATAATTCAAATAAAAAATTAATACCTATAAATTCATATTGAAATAATTATAACACGTGTTACGATACACGTGGAAGATGTGAATGTGCGCCATCTAATAGAAATTCAATAATCATGATAAAAGTCAATTACATATTATGTTGAATCGGTTATTAAAATGTTAATATTAAAATATTCCATCGACAATCAATAAGTCATTAGAACATGGAAAAATTTTATATGAATCATTATAGATTTTCTTAATAATGGAAAAATTTATATATAGTTATTGACAATTATAAATGTTTTTTTAACTTGATTCATGTGATTAATTCTTTCGATGTCGCTGAACGTACTAGCATCACATGCGGAACGAGTTTCATAATGGTATGTTATCATGTTCTCTGCACGCTGATCACCGTACGTTGTCGAACAGTTTTGCCGAACGCTTATAAGCGTCTGCTGCATCGAAAGGGTTAGGGATCAAGGATGGATTCATATGGGGGCTAATTGGATTATTATCTAAGACCTTCGTTTTCTAAAGTGTCCAAGAAACATCGATGACACTTTTCTAGCATTTTAATTGAAAATTTGAATTTAAAAATATATGTAACATTTTTTAAAAGTAACCAATAATATTTATTATTTTTTAGACACCATGTTGCAACAAGGTATATACATGTCGATTCTGTCACGACAAAGAAGAGACTCATACAGTAAATAGAAAAGAAGTCACAGAACTGATATGCGTTTTATGTGATACTCGTCAGCCAGTACAAGCCACTTGCCAAAATTGTGATTGTCGATTCGGTAAATATACATGTCTCGAGTGTAATTTATTTGATGATGAGGACAAAAATCAGTATCATTGCGATGGCTGCGGAATATGTAGAGTCGGCGGTCGCGACCGATTTTTCCACTGTGCCAAGTGCAACATGTGTTTACCAGTTCAATTACAAAACGGACACACGGTATGTAATGTATAAATTTTGATTAAATGCCAATGAAAGTATTTCTATTCTCTATGATATTAGCTACATTTAGCTAAAACAATTGTTTATTAATTTACTGTAATAAATATATATGCGTGATTTGATGAAATGGTAGATAAAAAGAAATTTCAATTTTGAATTATAATCATAGAAAATAATTCATATAAATCAATACTTTGTTTCATATTTTCAGTGTGTAGAAAATGTTTCTCATGCAAATTGTCCAGTTTGTCTTGAGGATATTCACACAAGTCGTATACCTTGTCACATTCCAAATTGTGGTCATTTGCTTCATCGCACATGCTTTGAGGAATTGTTACATTCAGGACATTATGCGTGTCCAACTTGCCAAGTATCCCTTCTAGATATGACTGATTTATGGAGATTTTTGGATATGGAAGTATCATCAACACCAATGCCAGAAGAATATAGGGATTATAAGGTTGATATTCTGTGCAAAGACTGTCATGAGGTAAAAGAAACATCTTATTTTAAATATTTAAATTATATATTTATGTAATAAAAAAATAATGAAAAATTAAATGTAATCAATGAAACAATTTTTTAGGAATCAACAGTAAAATTCCATATTGTAGGTTTGAAATGTTTGAATTGTGGAAGTTATAACACTTGCAGAGTTAAAGGATCTCCTTCTCCAGGTTGATATTAATTAGTAATTATTTAATTTTTACAATAATAATATTTTTAATTTTTACAATTAGTTTCTATGTATTTTAAAAAATTTTTAGCAGATCCAGATACATTGGACTAAATAATTAGTATCAACATTATGAATAATGAAGAAAAATTATGCAGAACATAAAATTCTGAGTATTACAACGGGAAAATTATGCAATTCCCGCGAGAAAGTGTTGCTTTTAAGCGATTGAGAAAGACATTAGAAAATGGCCTCTTTGGCATTATACCTCTTTATTTGTTTTTAGTGAATTTATACATCTTTGTTGATTGTTTTCAGACTTTTTATAGATGTTATTTTATTAGGAGGCTGAATATAGTGACTGAAAATGATCAGCGCTTATATTTTTAACCATGAGACATCGAAAATTATTCAATAATCACGATTTAAATCGTGAATTCATTTTAATTCAAATTATTAAGAATAGTAGATTCATTTTACGAAAGTATATTAATTATTACACATAATGATAGTAATTCTAAATGAAACAGTATATAATATATTATTGGCGATTCTCATTTTGTTATCGATTGGTGACGCAATATGCATGGTATCACCCATTTCTTAAAATTCTTCTCGCGCTGTTATTAAATAGAATTTAAAATAGAATTTTGAACATTTCATGATGCGTGACTTTCTTTTGATGCAATCTTTTCGTAAATGCTATTTGATCAACATATACCGGTAGTGCTAGTCAAAAAATTTCCCTCTTTTAGCTACTATTATAATCAACAGCTAAGAGTTCCTTTATAATACATATAGTTCCCCGATGTTATATTACACAGTTACATGTAGAGATAGAAATCAATGAGATTATTACTAATAAGATGCATTTTATTTCTTAATTAATTATTGTACGCGCAATTTTCGAAAAGATCGCCATCTAGTCAAAGATCACTTAAATCACTTTTTAATACAAATGTTCTATATATAGAAAAAAAAATGCGCGGAGGAATCTCAGATAGTTGGGTGACGTAAGCTGATATCTAATACAATAATTTTTTGAAAATATACGAAATAAATTTATATCGTAAACCTTCAAAATAAATCGTGAGATTTCAAGCTTCGACATTCATCTATCGAATTTTATCGGGCATTACCATCATGTTATTGTAAATTAAAATGACCATAATTATAAATTTGTGCGTATAATTAGGCATCTTTTAGTGCACGCGTTTAAATATATATTTTTATGGATAAAAAAAAAATTTGATTTTATATAATTTGATATTAAATTTCATGTATCAATCATAATTAATAAATATTTAGCATAATTCATACGTAATAGAGGAAATATTGTATTTTAGCATAATAAAAAAATTAATATTTTTAATTTTTCCTCCAAGAAAATGCGTATAAAATACTATAAACATGTTTAACTCGTTTAATTCGTTTTACATGAATTAATGATTCATGTTGTTAGACATTTTAATGTCTAATTATATAAAACGAAATAATGGTATTTTACTTTATTTCAATTATATTTTTGAAAAAATTTTTAAAAAATATTCAATACAGATGAATAAATTGGAAGCAGTATTTTTTTTTAAATTAAATTTACTTAAATAATTAAGAAAAATATACTTTATTAATTTTTTTTAGCTTTAAAACAAAATAAATATAATATAATTAATAATAAAAATTAAATTCTAAAGAATATATATTATACAGGGTATTAATATATTTGTGGAATATATATTTTTAGAGATTTTAAAAATCAAATTGAAAAGTTGATATAAAAAAATTTCAATTGAAGCATATTCATTAAGTTATAAGTTGTATATATGTAATTGAAATTTACATTAGATGAAGTGAGACTCTATCATAACTGTATTGCTTTATCTAAAAATTTCGATTGCAAACTTCAATTATTTATACAATAATAAATAAGCTTCAATTGATATTTTTAGATATGAATTTTTGTGTTTGTTTTAGCCTCTAGATCAAAAGTGTCCCATGAATATGTTAACACTTTATATATAATTAATAATTCCTAAAATTTAATATTAATTTTTAATATTATAATAAATTTTTTTAACTTGATCTCAGTTTTAATGAGAGTCCCAAATTCTATATACCATTGAAACATATTAAGAAAACGCGTGTACAGAAAGAGCTTTAGAATTATGTTTGACGCTTATTACATCGCTCATAAACATTGTCATATTGTATTCAGTTTGTACGCATATACTACTGAGTAATCTTATCATCATTCACGTTTAGATATATTTCGATTGCTAATATGAGATAAAGCGTATTTGTGCATAACATTCTAAAGGACATGTTTAAAATATTAAAATATGATACGATGTTTCAAGCTCAAATAAAAGAGTTGGTAGGCACTCTTGATATACCTCACCTGATTGTGAGATTTTTTTGATTATTGAATCTTTTTCAATTGTTTGTTGAATAATATGTATATGGCTGTTTATTGTATAAGCACTTGTATTATTCATTTCATGGCATTCCAAGTTTTATAAAAGACGTTAATATACGCCGAAAATTGAATTATTGTTATTGTTATATATGTAACTTGATTTAAAAAATTATTAAAAATTATTAACACATAATTTGATTTAAAAGCATAATGTGAGAAATTATGATATATTAAATCAAATTATGATCTCTTTTAATTTAAAAATAACATTGTGCTGGTTTAAAAAAATATTACCAATTGTTTATTTTTTGGTGATTATTATCACGTCTTTATTATTCAATTGTAAATTAAATACCAGTTACAAAGGCTCTTTGTACATAACGGCCGCAATAATGCTTTTGTTTTATATTATATAATATATATACTATTGTATCAAATAAACCAGCTATTATTTTATTCTTTTATCATTCGTACGAATATGATAAGAAGTTGCTACTTTATATGGCAAAAATTTTTTCATATTCTAATAAAAAATAAATTGTTTTCAATATTAATTCACACAAAAATTTCTTTATGTAAACACTATTGACTCCTGATGTCTCTTTAAAAAATTGCATATAAATTTGTAATTTGTACTATCAGGAATAAGTATGTTTACGCAAAGAAATGAGATTTTATTTCTTTTTTCTATATTCATCACTATCTATATGCCAATATAATAACAACTTCCTATCAAAAAAAGGTAGAAATATCTTGCTTTATTTTTGTTTTTGTGATTTATTTGTGGTCCACATATATCCTACTGAGAATGAATCATAAATATAAGTATTTATAAAGCGTGACATTTCTTCTCTTTTTAAAATACAATTTCAGATGCACTGTGGATTTTTCATAAAAAGAAAATTCATTTATTTGTATACATATGCTATGCATTAGAATATCTCAATTTTATATCAATTATATGATTCATAAAAGATTATTCTAATGCATCCATTTGTATTCAACCTGTAAAATTGCCTAATAGATTTATTTTTTCTTTGCTTTCCTGTGTTTTTTTTTTTTTTATATCATGTGATAAATTTGATAGAAAAAGGCTATATTCCTTAAACGGAAGTGCCGTATTATTTTAATTACGACTAGTTTAATGTCGCATTTTTTGTACCACGAAGTGCGACTGAGTCCCCATGTTTACAAAAGGACTCTCAAAAATTCAAAGAACGAGGACGTAATGGCAAGTATCCATGACTGCTAAGGAATCGTCGAGCAGCTCGCGTCATTTCGATTTGATCGCGTGTACGTCCACATGCCACTGTTGCCCATTGTGCTTCTAAATGTACCTGCAATTAGAACAAATCAAAAATGAAAATCAAAGTGAATGGCATAATTATGATATTAATATCATAAAGTAATAACATATACAAAATGATTACATTAGCAATATTTTGAATATGACGAAATGAAATATATAAAACTATCTCATATTTAAAAAATTAAAAGCTAAATTCTTTTGAATTTTATATAGGTAAGATTAAATTAATTGAACAACTTTAATATAAACTATAAAATATATTTAATAGTTTTGAATTATACATTTAATAATTTTATTATCCTTACACAAACTATTTAATATTTCAAGAGATCAAATACTGCAATGAAATTTGATCTATAGCAACAGATGGTTTTCCAGTATACGAAAATTAAGCATTGGAGCGATGTGAAAAGAAATTTGACACGAAAATATCAAATCTCTAATGCAGCTAACCCCATTAAGGAGATACAGTGAACCGATTCTAGAATTAAAAAAACAACTCACCTTAGCACGTTTGACTGGCCTGAGCGGCAAGGGGCTGAGGATACAACAGGGACTGTCGAATGCATCGAATGTGATCGCTCTCTTGGCATTAGGCTTCCGTTGTACGGACACAAAGTCGTGGGAAGTCTGGAAAGGATAGACACACTAGCTACAGCCGGCGAGTAAAAAGAACGCATATAGAAAATACTCATTTGAAAATTATTTCTTTTTTCTTTTTATCAGAAAAAAATATAAGATCAAAATTTCAGTTTTCAGAGACATAATTGAAAGATTTAAGAAAAAGAGAAAGAGGAGTTGTAAAGAGAGAAAGAAACGGAGATAGAAAGGATATATAGTTATAGAGAAATAAAGAGATTATGGAAATTTATTTTAGTATTATTCAAAAAATTATGAAACTATATTGTGAGCTTGTCCGTTTTATGCGTTCATATTTTCTTTCTAGGGCACGTTTCATATACATGCAAAAAAAAAACTATCACGTTTCATTATAAAATGACTAGGCCTTTTGTATTTTCTTTTTTCTTTCTTTTTTCCTTTGCATGATTGCGAATCGATTTCGAAGAGGAGCATTCGCGACCAATGGAACCACTGCTCAAAATTGTTCTTTGGATTTTCGAGACAGGATAGACAAGGAAGATACTTTGGTACGCTAGGCCAGGCCTGTATAAAGACATTTTACGTTTGAGTTAGTTTTAAACATGCGGCAACTCAACATTATTATCGAAGAAACTAAAAAAATATATATGTAATATATATTATATATTAATATATAATAATAAATAAACGCTATCTTTATATGTATATATCCATATAGATATATTATATATAATTATAGACGGGATATTTATGATTTAAGGATATTTAATTAGGCAAAGGAATTATTAGGGTATACAAGTATTATTATGTTTCATGCTATATGGATCACCGGTGATCCATTTTTTCCGTTTAGATTATTATTATTTTTATTATTATTGAAACATAAATGACTAAGGAGGCGAAATTGAAACTGCAAACATTTAATATAATCAATGATATTTTGTAATTAAATATTAAATAATCGTACGATGATACTTAAATACTAATATTTTATTACAGATTTACATAAGTACACATGTTTAACCTGTTGTGCACAGGATTCTTATAATAATTTACAAATATTTAAAATCAGGAATTCTTAATAATTATTATTAAAAAATTTCAATATTATTATTATTTTTTTTTAAACATGTATCATAAATAAATCTTATAATAATAAATAAATCTTATAATAATAAATAATAATTTGGTTTTTCACCGGAATAAATATGTTTTCAGTTCACTTCGCTTCCAAAATATCAAATAAATGTACACGAATAATTTACACGAATAATTTATATAATTAAATATTAACAAAAAAAAATAAAATGATAATAAAACATAATTTAATTTTTTGTAAAATTAATTGTAGAAAAAGAAAAATGAAACAAACAAAAACGAAGTATAATCATCTGTACACATCAAATTATATATACGTTTAATAACAAAGAGTACGGATATTTTCAATATAAAGACAGACAATAAATATCGACCAGAAATAAATATTATAATACGCGCAAAAATATAACTTAAGTACCTCATAACGTTGGCTCTTTTGTGATCATTTTTATATTTTTTATATTTTTTTATTTTAGTGATTTAATTAATGATAAATAATATGAAACGTTTTGTTTTTTAATTCATGATCATAAGTTTCGCTCCAAGCAAAAAATTATTAGATATAAATAATTTAACATGAAAAGCATACGCGTTGACAAAAAAAAAAAAAAATAAATTAACTATATAAATAGATTAAACTGATATTCTACACCATTATTAATGTTAGTCGTGTTACTTTATAATTATATACTTAGGATCTAAAAAAAGAAAAAAAAGTCACTAATAATCTTTGGATTGAATGATACCGGATCGATAAAAAGAATCGGTAATAACCAGTCTAATAGATATAAAAACAAGGTTAATTTCTCGCGCGTCGTTTAATATTTAGTCATAAATTATAAAGAAAAAGAAAGAATTGAAAAAAAAGAAAGAAAAAGAACAAGGCATATTTAACGTTAATCGAAAGGCAGACAATATTGATTAAAATATATTTAACAGATTTTAGAATTTAAAAGAAAAAGACAGTGTTAAAATAAGAAAGTTAAGAAAAGGCCGGCTAGCGTGTCTAGAGGCGATTGGTACGGGAATAATACCAGGATAGGGCTGGTTGAGTTTGAATATATGTTTGAGTATGGATATTCTCTACCTTTATGGGACTAGTCCCTGCTGTTAGGAAACTGTCTTCTAATGCCATGGATGCTGGTGAAAATAATACCGATGTGTCCAAACTTTTACTCTGTAATATAAAACGAAATAAATAAATAAATAATTAAATGATATAATTTGTAATCTTATAATGTAAAATATCTTTAAATATTCATATTCAACTTACGGGTGTTTCTACAACGAAACTCATTTCGGAATTATCTTGAGAAGCATTTGCCCAAGCTTGAGAGAGAGCTTTGCGTGCTCTCTTTCCGCCAGGAGCACTATTCTCTTTACCCCGTCGTCTAATTGTACTATAACCAGAATCTTGAAGAATAGTGCTAGTTCCTACTAAACTTTCACGATCGGTTTCCTGTTTGATGATCTCGGTTAGAGCATCTAAACGACTGGGGGTAGCAGGTAACTGAGTAGTCGCGCCGCTGCGCCGTTCTAATTCTGCTAATGCATTTTTGAACGGTGTTGGTGTCCTCGGCGTATTGCCATCTATAATAATAATAATAATAATAATAATGTAATAATATATAATAATAAATATATAAAAATATTATTATAAATAAAATTTTGCAAATCAAAAAATAAATAAAACATACCATTTTGACTTCGTCGAAGACCAGTGGGTTGTGGTGTGGTGAGTGGACCAGGGCTGCTGCCTTTAGGAGTGCTCGCTCGTGGCCAGGAAGATGTCTCGGGACTCAGACTGTTCAAAAACTGTGACGGGCTGAATGGCAATTGTTTAATGGGTGTGGATGGGGTGGTCTCACCAGTCTGTTGTTCCTGTTGATTTATTATTAAATAATCAGACTGGCTCACATTATCAGGAGTTTCTGTCCTCTGTTGAAGAATTTGGGTATTTTTACGTCGACGTAGAATTGGGGGTGGACTACTCCTTTCTTTCTCCGTTACAGCACCAGAAATCTCTTCCAAATCTGGCATAGGCATTAATCTGATTTCTGAATTTTTTGAACTAGTCGCTTCACCTTGTATTTGCAAGTCGAAATACCTATAATAGTAGACGTTAATAAATAAATAATTTTTTTCAATTATCTTTGGAAAATTTTATATTTTTTTTTATTTCATTCATATCATACTTTGTGAAGGGTGACATTTGTGCAGTCTTGACTCTAGAAAAGGAACTTCCCGTTTTTGAAGGGGAGTTTAAACGAGATTCATTATTATGCGACCGTTCATTCAGATTCAAAAGACCTTGGAAAGTCTGATTATTCTGTTGATTATCCCAAGTTCTACTCCATTGCAATTGATCAATGCCCAGAGTATGTGGCTGTACATTAGTCAGAGTTGAGGTATTGTCATTATTCGTTGATTTTAAACAATTCTGATTGGAAATATCCTCTTCTGGACAAAGATTATCCTTAGAGGATATTGATGCTTCTATGGCTTTTCTTCTACCTCTCCCTATTAAAAATACTTATTTTCATTAAATGTTTCATCTTTAATAATCTTCTAATTTCTAATACATAAAAATACATTCTAATTATTAAAATGAATTAATTTATTTTTTAAATTTTGTATATCTATTGGAATTAAAAAATGGAAATTAACAAAAAAGAAGATATTGATTATTGATTAAAGAATGAATGAATTATAAACCTCTTGTGCTCGTGGATCTACCCTCTTCAGTTTCATATTTTCTTCTCATAGTACTATTCCAATGATTTTTTATGGCATTGTCAGTTCTGCCTGGTAGTAATTTTGCTATTTTTGCCCATTGATTGCCTACCCTGCGGTGTGCTTCTACAATGATCCTATCTTCCGCTTCTGTCCATGCTGTTTTTTTAATACCCGGATTCAGATGATTATGCCATCGTTCTCGACATTGCTTTCCAATACGACCTTTCAAATGTCGTGCAATTAATGTCCACTTCTTCGGTCCGTATCGTTCTACTAATTCCACTACTTTTTCGTCTTCCTGCAAATAGGATTATTATTATAATAATATTAATATAATAATTATTAATATATTATTAATATAATTTTTAGTTATTTATATATATATATATATATATTTTGATAATTGATACTATCGAATATTGAAATTGATTCATAAAAATTCGATAATTATCCTAAATATTATCAAAAATAAATAATATTAAGAAAGTTTATAATAAAAGAATTATCTTAAGATTCTCCTTTCAATAATAGGATGGAAAATCAATAAGTATCCTGAATCAAAATATCATATTATGATATCATAAATATCATAATATTTTATTTTTATAAATTATCCTATATTTTAAAATCTCATATTAATTAATCTTAATTATAAAATTTCTATTAATTTAAAGCCATTATATTGTTAATATCAAATTCTTTAATTGCAAAATATGCTTCCAATTTGTAGCAATCATATGATATAATATCACATGAATCGTATTAAAAATAATTATTTCGATTTTTCCTTCATTCATTCATCAAATATATGAATAAAAATTTTTCATCTTCCAATAGACTATCTAGCAAACATTACCAAATAATTACCAAATAGCAAAAATTATTGCTGATTATCTGATATAAACCTATGTTACATAGATATGTAACTATGATTGCTTGAGAATGATTGAAATCATTCTGATTCAAATATTATCAATTGCTTCCAAAGAATTGCCATTTTTTCTAGCGCCTCTCATCTTGTTGATTGTTACCAAAATCGTCTTCAACAAAGTCTTCATGTGGACAAATTCACCGGAAGGCAAGCCCAACTCATGGAGTAATTTCTCGAAAGCAAATAGAAGTATCGAACAGAGAACGAAGTGGTAGGTCGAGAAGACGGCGGAAAGGAAAGGAGAAGAGGATTCACGCGATGCATGATGACCGTCGGTGCACAGAGGAAAAGAACGAACGAAAAGAAGAGGAAAAAGAAAGGGAAAGACAGAGGAGTAAGAGGAGGTTGCACCGAGGACGCTCCCATACCATGAAAAATCAGGTACACACCAATGTGGCCCTCCATGACGGCGATGTCAGAGGCTTTACTTGCCCTTGGCTGTTGCCAAGTGCATTGGCAAGACGGCGATGCAGCATCTCTACAGACCTCTCGTGGCTCTTTTTCTTATTGCATACCCCACCGTGGCGACCCTCAGCGGACAGACGGAGAGCTTTGCCTCCGCTACGTGTAGGCGTATGTACTGTGCAGGGCCGTGCCGTTATGAATTTGAACCTTCGAAATTTAAACGAGTCGGAGAAACTTGATCGCTAATCCCTTAGAAGTGAGGCAACGAGAATCTTGAAGCATTTTTAAATGAGTTTGGTTCAAGTTTGATTTTTATTGACTATGATGAAATTGATTAGGCTTATGGTGTGATTACTATTGACGCTAATAATGAATCTATATAGTTTGCAATACTGGAGACATCTAGTGATCAAAAGAGGAAGCTCTTGATATTTTTTACTAATAGAAGGTAGGATGTGTATGTATTTTTAAAATACATGTGAAGAGATATATGTATTATATATTATAAATATTATAAGAATATTTTAAGAGAATGATTTTGAAGTTTTAATAAAATATCAAATCTATTAACTACTGATTCGTGTGAATTATTAAAAAAAAAAGCTTCTAATCCGAAAAGAGAAAGTTCTGCAGAACCATTATCCAACTTTTAATTTAAAAGTCTTCTCAGTTTCATACTATCTGAATAGATCTAGTCGCGATAGATGAAGAGGGTGTAATGGATCTTTACTTTCATTTGATGTGGACTGATTGGCCTCTATTGAAAATCAGGTTAATTGAATTTCATTGATTTTTCAATGATACAATATAACTATTCAAATAAAGAATCAAATAAAATCATAAAGTATCGCTAAATGTCGATAAAGACCTCAAATACTAACTACTATACAAGATATTTATGATAATCAAAACAATGAATTATTATTTAAAAAATCATATTTTAGTTTCAAATTCTGAAATCCTAAATATTAAATTTTTAAAGTTTAATAATAAAATATAATAAAAATTAGGTTTCTCAATATTTAAAAAAAAAATTAATTAATAAGTTCTATTAATTTAATTCCATTAATATACCTCTTTTGTCCATGGTCCTTTGACTAATTCCGGATTTACGACCTTCGCCCATCTCTGCTGGCATTGAACATCACTTCGATCCGGAAAGTGGCTGGCTATGGCGTCCCATCGAAGCCCAGTGCCAAGTTGTTCAGCATTGCTCACTAACTGTTTTAATACAGCATCCTGAAATCCATTTGAAACAGAACATAAGTATATTAATCATATACATATACATATATATTATGCATAGGAAATAATATACAGTATGAATAGAAAAAAGATTGTGACAAAAGTCCTTTGAAAATGTTCTAAAATAAGTATATTTGAATTTTATATCGCTGAGCATTGATAAAACTTATGAAACTTTATTAGTGATAAATATAATTCAAGTTAGTGAATGAATAATTTCAAGTTATTTTAAGTAAATAAGCTATTTAAAGTAAATATTGTATTTATTCTTTTGAGATATGTTAAATTAAAATAAAACTGTGTTAAAATATTATGTTAATAAATTATTAATTGTTTTTCAAAATATGATGATTTATATTTCATATAATGATATATAATTCTTAGAGAAGAATTTTTAATATTTATCAATACTTTTTTTTATCAAAAGAACAGTAAAGATATTTTTATGAGAAAGATTAAGTATAAATAATAAGAAAAAAAGATTAAATGAACATGAAATATTTACTACTATTGCAACATTAATTTCTGATATAGATAGAGTTGCGAATGGAAATTAAATTAAAAATAACTTTAAAATTATAGAAATAATGAAAATATTCCAAAATAAATTGTGAAACTTTTTATTTCACAATTGCATCAAATTAAAAAAAAAAAGAGAAAGAAAGAGAGAAAGAAAAAAAGGAAAAAGGTCATGTAACAAATGCATAGGATCGATAGGTCTGTGATATTTCCCACGGGAAACCATACGGCGTTCTTCGTACTCTATGGCTACGCATATGACTATGGGGTAGTTGAGGGCATCTGCCCGCGGACGTAACTCGTTGTAGAAGGTACGAAGGGTGGACCTTTTTTCGAGGCCTGTGCTCATTGTATCCCTCCCCTTTTGCGTTACATCTGATCAAAGTCACAGTATGATGACGCGGTCACGTGTACATTCTCGGAAATATCGAGCTCTTGGTTAAAGAGGAAGAGAAAAAAAAAAAGCATAGAACATTGTTTATCGTGATATGCACTATAAATATCATTGGTATAATCTAATTTATATGTATACCAATTTATGGTATAACTTTCTAAAATATTTTTTATAAATATATTTTAGAATATATTTAAAAGATTTTTATCTTTTTTAAATTATAATATTTTATAATATATTTTAAAATATTTTATAATAGAAATATTTAAATATTTAAATTAATAATATTTAAATTTTTTTATTATGTTATAATTATATTGTTAATAATTAAAATTTAAATGTTTCATTAATAAAATTAATTTTAATTAGAATATTTAACATTGAAATTCGCAATTACCTCCTCTTTGGTCCATCTTCCTTTGTTTATATGCTTTCCCTGCCCATGATTGCTTGCATTTGTGTTCTGATTTTGAGATTGATTATCGGCTCCACGACAAGCAATAGCATTGTATTCATTGTCAGATTCTCCGCCGCTACTAGAATCGTATCCAGATCGCGATCTAAGAAAAAAAGAAAATATTATGTTTTCATAATTTGGAAATAAAATTAAATTTGAAATTTAGAAATTCATATTTCTAAATTAAAACTGCATTTTTCTACACAATGATATTTATTACTAGTATCTTTTCTTTTTTTATAAAAAAAATTGATAAATAAAATTGACAAATCAAAAAAATGCTAATATCTATTATCTAATAACTTTTGTTAAAAATATTTAAAGTTAGAAATGATACAAATGATTTTATCATGCCTACATCATGAAACCTTTTATGATCTTTTATCTCTTTTTCTTAGGACTATTAATTTTAACATAAAACTATGATTCAAAATGAATATCAAGATTCACAAGATCAAATGTGCGAACATGTAACGGATATAGCTATTTTTTGTAGAATGGTGAAGATGGGAAATCACGGATGGCTGACCATCCGACCTGTGCGTGTTTCTTCCTCTTCTTTGTCGAAGAAACTATCGCGCACTCGTTACCCCTTTGTTCTTCACCCTTGCCCTAAACCGCCAACCAAGAGGCAATCTTGACCACAGTCTGGCCAGTGTCAGTTTTTGTGGTTGCTAGTGGTTTATTCGTCTTCTTTGTCTTCAAGGATTTCCTGTCGTTATTCATTCTCACCCTTTCTTCCCTTCACTATTTTTTAATTTTTTCTCTTTGTAAGTTTTTAATCAAACTTAAAAAAAAAGCAAATTTATCTAAGTGTATTAATTTATCTAATTTATCTATAAAAAAGAGAAAAATCTATTTGATTAATCTACTTAATTAATTTAATTTATCTTTTATATAAAATTTATATAATATTGAAAGCGTTAATAAAAATATAAATTATTCATTTGAAAGAAATATAAATAAAATATTTATAAAGATGTAATAAAAAAATTTTCTAAATAATTTTTATAAATATTTTAGAAAAAATACATATGTAAATAATTGTTTATATGATTAAATAAAAATATTTTTAAGTCAAATATTTTTTCTTCAAAAAAAAAATTCTTTAAAAAAGAATTTCCATTAATCACAAAGTATCTTGAATATAATTTTTTCTATATGTAGATAGTAAAAGCTTTTTTACATCAGTCAAGCTCATCTATAATAATTCTGTCAATCAAACAATATTCTCAAATTTCAAAAGTACTTAATTCGAATCTAATAGTATTCATTTCATTTATTTAAAAATATTTAAAAAAAATATTCTTATTCATTAAATTTTAGTATTCCATTTTAATATTTTTTGTTGGAACAAAAATGCTATTTTAAATATGTTTTTCTATACTTTTAATTTAATTTTATTAATTAATTAAATAATATTATTTATTAATCTTATGAAATTTCTTTAAAGACTTTCTTAGAAAAAACATTACTGATATAAATGATATACTATAGTAATCTATAAACTGACTTCAGTAGTAAAAGTCAAGAAATTTATGGAAGAAACAAGCCAGAGTTCATGTTACACAATACTCAAATGCAATTAGTCCAACACTTGGCTCGTCATCTTAACGTATTTACATTCCAACCACTATAGAGTTTATGTTCGCAGGATGACGTAATTCGTCGACGATAGCCGGTCAGTTTGAGATGAAGTACACATGTATATATTCTCCTATATATCCCACTACATAGAGAAATCAAACGCAACGGCCGACCGCTTGTTATGTTTACTGTTTCAGGCAGACCACGACCGCGTTTCCGCTGCAAGCAGCTATGTATATCGTATGAACCTTTGCCAAACGGCGTTCGTTTAACCCTTTTGTTTCGTCAGAACTGCAAAGATACCGCTGTGACGTCTAAGTGAAACGATGTACGTAAATTCACGAATCATTAAACATTATTCATATTTATTTTAGAAAAAATAAAAAATAATGTAATGATTTTTAATAAAAACAGAAATATTATAATAAAATGTAATATTCAATATATCTGAAAATTAGCAATTTTTTGTAATTACAATTATTTTATTAACTTTCAAATTTATAAAAAAAATTATTATAAAATAAATAATCAAATAATATGCAGTATATATTTAAAGTTTAATATGTAATATTTTTATAAAAATATAATAGATGTAATTATAATTATAATTATAATAGTAAATATATATATAGTTGAAAATGTATAGAAAATTATTTTATTTTTTATTTTCAAATTGGCATTTAGACACCAATATTATGTGTTATTGCTATAATATTTAAAATTCATAATCTTTAGTGCTAAAAATGATTTAAAAAATTAGTGCTTTTAATACTAAAAATGACTTAAAAAATTAACTAATAAGCCAATTTAATCATTTTATGATCCAAATATTAAATTGATAAATTATGAACTTTTTTTAAAAATAGAATTTATAACATAATTATATTCGTTGATGAACATTATAACAAAAAAAAATTGCTATTTATTACAATGATGAATTAAAAAATAAAATTTCAATCTTGGAAATTATCAGTTATCTTTGAAAATTTGATAATTTAATCTAAATTGATCGTCGAAATCAATATTATTAATTTTATCTTATTATTAATTTTATTATTAATTTTATCTTATTATAACAATAAATTAAAAAATAATATAATATCAAAAAATATCTCTTTGGACTGAAAGTAATGATAACAATAAAATTTACATGAATATATATGTCGTACTTATGTATATATGTTTGTGGCATGCTATATCATTTTATAATTTTCTATTGTACTTCATTAGTATACATACACATATATGTTTTTCTGTATATATAATTATTCTTTTTTTGTATAATATCTTTTTTCTATATATATAATTGCTTAAAAGTGAAAAAAAGAAAAAGAAATATATATTGAGACAATAAACTAGAAATATAAAATTGAAATTTTTTCAAATTACTACCATTTATATTATATGTTTTGAAAAATATATCCTGATAAAATTTTCATATTCTTTTTATCTTTACTTCTATCTTTATCATGTATATACAAATGTATTTTACAAACATTTTATTCTATTCTTCTATATTTTATTTTCTTTTTGTGATGTACCGATGTTCAACAGCGGAAAGAATGATTATCCTTAGCAAGATTTCCTGGAAATCTCTACTCATCACTGAAATATTATGATAGAGCGATAGAAGTCTCAAGAAAATTAACGATAAGTCACGGAATTAATTCACAATTTGTTAATCAACAAATCAATCGTTCCTTTTTTAAATATCTATTCGATTATCAATAAAATCTCGAATAAATATTCTTCTTTTTATTGCTTCCAGTTTTCGTATTCTTCATACGACAAACGTTACGAGACATGCGTGCGCATATTTATTCTGGCACACACGTGGCAACAGTGCTATACAGGAAGCACGCGCATTTCATCTCCGCAGCTGTTTTTACATCGGTAAGAGAAACTCGTATAAAACGCAAACTGATATACCTTGTAATTCAGCATCTAATTGACGGAGTCTAGCAATGCAATCTTCGTTGTTCAAATATACTGACTTTCTGCAGGTGCACATATGTTTACGTTCCCGGCTAAGGACAAGTCGAGAATATGTTATGAAGCGTTAAGTCGCGAGGGAATGCTAGGAACCAAAAGGGGAGTGCCGTTTAAGTGGAATGTCTCCTGTATACAGGACGCGTCGTGGAAAAAAGTGAATGTAGCGAAATTCGTGAAACTATGCAAATAAATACTTGGCAGTGATTTGTTGCTCGATTAGCACGTGATAAGGCTGATTGAACAGCTGTATTGAATCTTATTTTTTTTTAAGGAAGACTTCATAACCTTACTATTTAAATTTAAAAATAGAATTTTAAAAATTAAAAGTCATTTCGATTATATTATTGTAAATCATAAAATAATTATTGTATGTGTTAATTTATATACGTGATTTTTGTAAATAGAATTCATGAATAAGAAAGAATAGATTTTTACAATTTGAATGATATAATATATTAACAATTATATAACCATAAGCAATATTGTTCATGCGGCAAAAAGGTGCAAACTAGTAAAATTCACATAGAGCAATATGTTTAAATTTCAAAGATGCGATGGAGTTCCATGACAAGCTAAGGTATCCAATCACAGTATATCTCTATATCTCTAGACGACGCGGCTTCCATGAGAACTAGCTAGATATTTAATCAAATTTTGATACCGAATTCTTAAATTAACAGAGCTTATAAGAATATCACTTTTATGTATAGAATTAAGAAAAAAATTATATTTATATTTAAATATAAAATTTCGTAATTAAAATTATATTTTTGCGCATGTATAATAATAATTATGTGAAATAAATATAATCTTTTTTTAGAGGTTGATGGAATTTCCTTAAAAAAGATATCTTCAGAATGTAAGAATGGAATGTGTAAATCGCATTTTTGTGCATCTTCCTTTTCACTTTCTATTTTGTATGTTTGACCAAATGAAAGTCTGAAAAAGCAGAAGCAGAACGTGCGTGGAATGCCAGAATAATCATCCGGTATTTGACTGTGGCTTCATTCAAATTTAAAAGTGAAAATGGAGAAGACGGCACAAACTACATACACGTGATCTTTTTCGTCACGTGTGATCTAATGTCATCTATGTCATACATAGACACATTTTTATATATGAAAATTATATTGACAATTATGTAATAACATTTTTGATAAATTAAATATGAAAAATTCTATTATTATTTTAATAATAAACAAATAATAATAAAGAATAAAGATTAAATAATTAATAAAAAACTTTTATACAATAAAGTATATATAATAAGCAAATAAGATAAAATAAATGAAAAAAATCTATTACTTAAATTACTTAATTTTACTTAAAAGAAATATAATATTTTTTATGTTAGAATATTTCTTCTAGAATATTGAACTTTTGTAGCCAAATCTTTACCTATTTAGTCGTGACACGCAAAAAAAGGATAGAAATAGCGCTGGGAATCGCAAATATATACTCGAAGACGATCAGTATCCGTTCTTTTTTTTTTTTCACTGTGTTACGTAAAGGCTTTCGCCTTCGTGGAAGTTCTAACGGTCGCAGGCATCCTTGAGTTTAAATCCCGAGGCACGTGGCTGAACGCAGGACTTCCTCCGGCATTCTCACGATCCGCGAAAATATGTGCCCATTCTGTATATATATATATATATATATATATATATATACACA